GGGACAGGAAGGGGCTTGTGTTTCACTTCTTTAACCAATCACAGTCACCGTCGTATGACATCACTGCATTAATTAGAACCAGTGTTTTCTGTTAAGCAGCAGGGTGTACCTGTTTTATGGTGTATGCCTATTGTTAAGGGATAAACACAGACAAAATATAGGAATGTGCTTGCCTGCAAATGCAATGTCTTTATTTCATGATAATACTAATAATCAGAGGTGGATAGTTTAAGTCCAGAAAGTAAAAATCCAGACCAAGATTTTGTTTCTATCAACCAGTTGAGTATAAAGAGTCAGACTCACAGAGTACTCAGCTGGTTGATTAAAACAAAATTTTTACTTTATTTTAAGATTTTTACTTTCTGGACCTGAACTATCACTTATCAACACTTATCATCTCTGTCTTCTCTGATAATAATAATATTAATAATAATAAAACACAAGGACAGAGGCTTAACCTGCTAAGCCACAAACAGCTGCTGGTTGGATTTCTGGAAGCCTTGAGTTTGAAAATGAGAAGAAAAACAACAGACCAATGTGGTGATGTCATACGATGAAGACAGTGATTGGTTAAATAAGTGAATTGAATGCCCCTCCCTTGTTGACCCAGGGACACATTGAGCAAAATGATGAAATCTGAAATGTTTGTACTATAAACAATTTGCATGAGATTCATACTCAGGTTTATTTTCTTGCATTTCTGTTATTTCACATACTCTGTTCATGTATTTTTCACAGATTTCTGTTAATTGTCCCACATGTGTTTTTCCATTTATCGCTTGCACATCTCATTACACTGTCCTTTCTGTGTTGCCATGGCACTCCACACGAAAAGGTGCCCCATGGGTCTGTCGGGACAGTAGGCAGCTTTTGTGTGTTCTGTGTCGTTGACTTAAAATGATCTTCTAAAGGAGTGCGCGTAGTCTAGGAGCCTGTTTCAGAAAGCAGGATTTCTTGCTTAGCCGGATAACTTGTGAGATTTAAGGTAGTCTGGGCTAAATGGACTTCATCTTTGTTCACTTACCTTTAGCCCAGACTACCTTAAATTCAAGTTATCCGGCTAAGCACGAAATTCTACTTTCTGGAACCAGGCCCCTAGTCTTTACATGGTTGGATAATATCAATGGTGTGTCAGTTGTTGAGATGGAGAGCTTTCTGCAGAAGTACAGAACAAATAATTTTTAATAGAACAAATTTTCTGCAACATTTTTTTTTTATTTTTCGCCATCCTTACCTTGGAGGGTTTTTTGCTTAGAATTTACAAAGCCCCTGAATTGCCTCGTTGAGCCAACCGGGGGGGGGGGTCTCATGGTGGATGGGGCGGCATGGTATCCATGAATGACCCACTGTACATGGGTCAGACGTGGTTCTGGCTCTACCTAGCTCGTCCAAATGTTTTTGGTCTACACCACTGAAGTGTAAAACAGCAGTTTGTCTTGTCGGACTGTTTCTTTATTATCTGAAAAAGTCTTACCTCAAACTATTTCCATCACTGTGTGAGTTTTTGCCAATGGCAGCATGTTACCATCACTATGTGTAACAAAGGAGTTATTAACGATTGAGCCCTTATGTCAGAGACTGTCAAATGCTGTCTTCCTGATATTATCTACCAGTATGACCCGTCCACAGCTTCTGCCTGATGAAACAGTTTCCCAGTCCAGTCCTGTGGGGACCCACAGACAGTCCATGTTTTTACCCGAAGCTGGGAGGGAGCAAAAATGTGGACCGCTGTGGGTCCCTCCGGACTGAATTGGGAAACACGGAATTAAAGCATAGTAATCATGGGACAGACAGTAGCTGTGTCCGAATTCAGGGAATATGCCTTGGTTGCGCCCTTGGATCACATCTTTCCAAGGTCAAACGGAAAGTTCTGTCGATTGGCACGGACTGACCATCACCAGCTGTGCCCACCTTTACCCTTGAGTCACGGAGTCCCACTCCTATCGCCTGGCCGGGACACACCCACTTTACCTCTGCACAATGAATCGTGGGGGGGTGACTTTCGGCAGCATTTCGCATTCACGGGCGCCGAATATCCCCACACTAATAGCAGACCCTTCACAGCATCCAATGCACTGTTTACCGTTAATGAAACACGTCTCCAGCAGCATAAACCATCTCCAGACTTTATTTCATTTCGTTTAACAGCCAGAAGGATCATTATCACAGTGGCTACACAAAGGAGCCCATTGCACAGCCTGTGTGATCAAACTAAACTGCAGTGTCGAATGTTAACATTATGCCTAAGAACACTGCTTCTCATACGCGTCTCCTATCAGGCTTTTAGCCTACATTTTAATTCAACATTAGTTGTTTTTTTCCTCTTCGCATCCATAAATGGAAACTTGAAGCATTGCTTATTATTCCTGCATGTGAGATATTTTTCCTCCGCCTTCCTTGTCATCTTCATTTATGCATTTTATTTGCACTTTGAAACACCGTAAGGGCATTCAAAGTCTATTCTAAAGATATATTAATGTTCTCAGTGCTCTCCGTATCATCCTGAAATTGGCGGGCTTCTATAATTACAGAACACAGCAGAGGACTATATTTCAAAAAGGGACTCTATTCAAGCTGATCTATAGGCTGAGTGGAAAGAGCTGTGCAATCTCTCTCATCAGTAGGTTATGGTTATTTACCTTATCCTGTATTACTGACCTATCCAGTGCCCCGTTTACAGCCTCCCACCTCTTAATCTGATCCAAGGGCTGTGTTATGGAGTCCAATTGCAGTACAATTATTGCCTTTTTAAATGTATGGCTGTACCTTCAGCTGTTAGCATTCGGCTATATTATGGTGCTACCTGTTACGTGTAGCCTAAGCTCTCAGATACATGTATTAGATACACTGTATTTCTATTACATGTGTTTCCATATCATAGAGTAATATTTTAGTATCTCAAGGGAATTGCAGTGCTGCACTTTCTAACAGCACCTTCAGATCTCGTGCTGCGTGTTTACTCTCCGTCCTCCGCCTGACGCCCTCTGAAACGTCCCGTAGGTGCCGCCGGCGGTCAGCGCGGCTTCCTCGGTTGCATCCGCTCGCTGAAGATGAACGGCGTGACGCTCGACCTGGAGGAGAGGGCCAGGGTCACGCCCGGGGTGAAACCCGGCTGCTCCGGCCACTGCACCAGCTACGGGATCTACTGCCAGAACGGCGGCAAGTGCGTGGAGAAGTACAACGGCTACGCATGCGACTGCACCGTCACGGCCTACGATGGGCCCTTCTGCTCTAAAGGTGGGCAATAACCCCACGGCTGCCATTCTCAGTCGTGATGTCGCACGGCGTTTATGACACGGGTGCTTCACACTTCCACCACTGGGGGGTTCGAATCCCACCTCCGCTCTGTGGGTGTGGAGTTTGCATGTTCTCCCCTGTGTCATATTGATTTCCTCCTGGCCTCCACTTTCCTACCAAAGTCCAAAACTGGTTAGCTTAATTAGTTAGCTTTGGTTAGCTTAATTAGTGTCTCTAAATTGAACATAATGTGGAATTGTGTGATGGATCGATAAGTGACTGGATAGATGGATAAAATTTGCTGTATTTGTTTTCAACAGTAAATTTTGTTACACGCCAGTCTAGGCCCCCGACACACACCACACCACACCAGAGGGAGCGAGAGACAGATGTTCAGGTCCCTCCTCTTCCTTTGCTCCCAGGAAGCTCTTATATATATTTCCCCCCAGGCTTCCTCCAGCGCCTCCTAGGGGACACAGACATAAACACAGGCACAGGCAACTACCATAACAATTTGATCAGCTTATAATACGCACAGTCAGATTAACTGTGCAGTCAGATTCTAAAAACAAAATTGTAAGAAGAAAGCAGGTAGGATAATGGACGTGTTTGTGAGTGAGCTGTATTATCCGGGACAGGGTCATGCTACCCTAGAGCCAATCCTAGATGGCATGGGGCCAGAGTCAGGGCATCCGGGATGGGATGGCAGCCTGTTTCAGAGCTGCAGAACATTAATGACACAGGTCACCTGGCAGACCCGCAGCCCCGGGTCAGTTTTTCATCATTAGCCCAGCCTGGTAGCCTCCTGTTCTACCCCTGTTCTAACACACCGGGAGTAATTACCCTTGTAAATAACTCCTACCTTCTGTCACCCTGTCATGTCGTACAACTCAGTAAGCGACGGTGCTCTCTCACAGTCAGTTTCCCCCCAGAAAAATAAGCCTTTGTTTTGTCTGTGTAACTTGGTCAGCAAACCAAACCAAATGTAATGCCAGGGCCCATAACATTAATACTGAAATTCTGAGTGCTTTAGTCGTTTGACTGCGTAAAAAAAAAAGTTTTCAATTTTTCAGCTGATTTACTTTGCTGGTTGTTTCATTTCATTTTAATTTCGTTCCACGTTAGCCTGACTTGGCCTAAGTATATTTTAGCAAGTCAGCTTATGTCCTACTGGCCCTTATCATTCATCAAGAGACAAGGATTAAAGAGCGACTCGCTCTGGACCAACGGAGTCCATTTCTAAGAAGAATTGGAATCCTTGGTGTACGACGGTGCTTCTGCTCGGTTTAATTTTAAAAATGATCTCATTTAATTTAGATCTAATGGTCTAATGATCCCATTTTAGGTCCCATACACATACAATGAGCTAAAATGATTTCTTAATGTGCACATTGACACTTAGACCTACAGAAAAAACATTGGGGGGTAGGGGGGTCAAACCTGTTCTCACTCCACTGTTTCCTTGGTTACAGATATTGGCGGTTTCTTCGAGGCGGGAACCCTAATCAAGTATAGTTTGGACTCTGACACCGCTGCCGCGTCCCAGGACCCGACGGGTCTATCTCAGAATGTGGCTACAGAGACCAACTGGACAGGGGAGGATCTCGCCTTCAGCTTCAGCACTTCCAGTGCCCCCAGCATACTCGTCTACATCAGCTCCAGGTCGCAGGACTACTTGGCCGTGGTGCTGCGTCACAACGGTGAGATGGAGCTGATTTTCTCAGCACTTCCTGTCCCATCAATGAAGCCTCTTTATGCTTAAAAGGCAAAATGGCAATTGTGGCCCTCCTCTCCACCAAATCCTCACCGGGGAGACAAATAGAGAGTTTTGTAGACATCTAGTCATGTAGAAGAGAGGGTATAAGCATGGTAGTTTGGTTAGGTCAGGTCAGGTCAGCTCAGGTTGGGGAGCAGGCATTGGTGCAGCACGTTACCGCACCCACCACACGACGAAACACCTCGGCATCCCGGCTGGCGACCCCCCAAGCAGACACACGCTTCAGTCCCACCCTCCGGAAATGGCCGTCCATCTGCCGCAGCCTGGTGTTACACGAGTGTCCCCTCGGCCTGGTCCTGCCGCTCGGGTTCTCAGTAATGAGGATCCTGTGAGCCGGATCACCCTCAGGGAATCGAACCACATGACCATAGTGCCATAAATGATGCTCCCTCACAATGCAGGTATTGTGCCTCATTCGGGACTCCCTGAGCACCTGCTCGTTCGACACACAATGATTTGGTTAACATATCAATAATTCAAAATCTATACTGTTCCGTTCGGTAGATGCTCCATGATACTGCCTTATGGAAGGTGTGCTGTGACAGGAAATAGGTTGGTAAACATTTCTATAGCCCCCTGTTGTATATGAAAAACTATTATGGGCTGGCACGAGTGGATACTATATAGAAATGTAATAATTTCTTTATTATGTTATCCCTAAAAAAGTTATAGCCAGACAATGGTTTCAGAACTGTCATGACAATATAAATCATTCACCGAGAATCACTCGGTGCCTTTTATAATTCTGCGTTAATTTGCTTTGCAAAGGTTGCAATTGTTATTTTTCCATGTTAATTAGTTTTTTTTTTCAGGTTTGCTCACAGATAAAAGACCCGTCCATTATCATTCAGAAATGATGTTACCTTTCTCTGCTTTCCTCAAATTGATATTTTCTTTTTTTACTCCTGAGGATAATAGCTTTTCATTTACATTGGATTTCCCCCGTGACATGGAACTGCATGTATTGTAAGGTACCTTGGTAGTTATTATTGTGAAATAAAAGATGGAAGGATGTATTGCGGATGGCGCAGTGAATCAGGGGGTTGCATTTGCAGTCTCGCACCACTGATTATCAGCCCCCTTTCTGTATGGACTTCCTGCCTCCTCCCTTCTAAATGCATTTTAGGGGAATTGTCATGTCTAAATTTCCCACAAGGCAGTGGTTCTCAACTCAGTCCTGTTCCTGGTGCCCCTCTTGCCAGAATCTTTTCATTCCAGCCCACACTGCTTTCAACCTGCCACATTCATTATTATCCTATTATGGAGCATGTGAGCCTGATTAAGGTCGGGCTGGAATGAATGCATTCTGGCCATGGGGGAGCCAGGAATTGAGAACCACCATAAGGTGAATATGTGCCCTGTACTGGACTGGGATCCAGGGTGAGAGCACTTGGACAGGTGGCAATGGAGAAACAGAGTACCAGATATATTTTGAGAAGTAAATACTCCAGAAACAAATATGGATGATAGGGAAGGAAACCCACTGATGTCATGATTAACCAGAGTTAGATGTTGCAATTATTTGTCACATGCAAATTGACAAAAAAAAATCAGTCTGCAAAGCAAACGCGCCTTAGGTAACATTTACTAATAAATTAATGCTTTTACAAGATTCCCCATCACTATACTAAACTCCTGAGGATTTTAAAAGAATTTGCTATCTGAATGTATCTCAATCACAGTGGAGGTTTTGTGCTCAAGTTACCTGGGTGTCCACTGACATTCTGCCCCCCCAATCCCTACCTGACAGGGACTCTTGAGATCCGTTACAACTTGGGCAGCCTGAGGGAGCCGTTCACCATCGATGTGGATCAGCGCAACCTAGCCAACGGGCAGCCGCACACCGTCAACATCTCGAGGGTGGGGAGAAGCATCCAGCTGCAGGTATGCGGTTGGGCGCCCTCTACTGGCGGGAGGCCGCACTGTGGGACTGTCGGTTCATGTCTATCTTCCAACATCAATGTCTCAGTGCTGGAGGAGAGCTTGTCCATCATTTTGTTTTTTCACTTTGTTGGGTATGTAGATGTTTGCATTTCTTCTGTATTAGACTGCTGGCATTCTAAGCTCGGGTTCTATGGAGAAAAAATGTAAAGAATTCACTGATGCTGACTACAAAGCATTCATGTAAGTGGCTCTGACTCAGGCCGTCTACCAAATTCCATAAAGATAAATGTAAATGTTCTGTATGTCTTCCTCCTTGCCTAGGGAGCCCTCCCTGTCTCTTGCTTTTCCTTCTGCCTCTTGGGTCTTTGGTCCTTCATTCAGATGGCTTCCACATACACATACTGCTTGCTCCACTTTTCAAAGCTAAGGCCTTGTGTGTTATATATGAGGCGCTGTGTAATTCATTGGGTTAGGAATCTGTGTCTGGTTCATAGGTTCATATTTTGTTTCTGACAGAGTATTCATGTCAGAGTACGGTCCTTAACCCAAACTGCTTGTGGCGCTGATGCTGGCTCACCCTGCTGTCTGATTCCAAGCTTTTCCTATCTGTACCTCACTTTGGACAAAAGTGTCTGATAAATAGATCTATATAACAGCCCGTTTGAGGCTGAGCTTTTATGCCGAGGTTCCTGCCCACCCGTCTGAACATCCCTTCTCCTGCAGGCCCTTTTGATCCCGCTTTGATCCCCCCCCCCCCCCCGAAAGCATCCATAGTCTGGCCATGCGCCTCAGGGGCACTCTGGCAGCACAATGATTTAAAACCGTGACGGCAATTTTCTGAGGGCCCTCTGTAGGTAACATAACTCCCCCCACCCCCCACTTGCTGTGTGCATTCTGAATCCATGCCCCCACACCTGAATTAGCCACTCAGCTGCCCCCGACCCCCCCGCAAAACTCATTTCATGGTCCTGAAATACACAGCATTACAGAGAAATGGAGACAGACTGAATGAAGGTAAAAGGACACTCTTTATGGAAAAGGCTTTTATTTGTTCTGGTAATGCCTCTAGACCTTACTTGCTTTGTTTATTACTTGTTAATTATTATTGCGAATGCCGCTCCTGGCTGACAGTGCTGTAGGTGATGCTCTTTCTCTTGATGCTTCTGTCCAGCACTCATCTCACCATTTCCTCACCTCTTTCCTGTGTCGGACTGATCAGTTACCGCGAGGGTGTCATGCACGGTGTGTACCCAAAACGGAGGCTAGGGGTGCAGTTAAGGGCTTTTATTTGTGAGGTGGCCAATTTCTCTCCCTGGATGAAGGTAAGCAAGCTGAAAGCCCTTTAATCGCCTGACATTATTCTCCAGAAATGGCCTGTATTGTTCCTCAGAGATGGAGCAGTGGAATCAAATTCACTCCCTCGCTCAGGAGAGTGCTTGCTGGTTGGGGGGCAGATGGGGTGAATCAGGTTGAAGGGTGATGATGCGTGTAGGGTGGAGGTTGGGTACAGCTCCTGGAAATGCACCCAAGTCGATTCAAAGGGGAGCCATTAAACTGACTGGACTGGTTAGTCATAGATGGTAGTGGGTAGCCGGGTTGGCCTGGAGGAAGATTCTTACACAGCCGTGCTGAGAAATGTAGTAGGAATTTGCTGCTTGAAACTTTGGTGAAATGAGTAACGTGTATTGAATATTTCAGCCCATTAATGTCGCCAGGATATGAAAGAGTCGTCGTGTTGTCCAATTTTATTCTGGTTTGGTGAAACATGTCAAGTAAACTCCAGCTTCGCCACATGAAAATCCCATCCGTGATTGATCAGATTAAGATTCTGAGTTAAAAAAAAAATGTTGTTTACTCTAGATTTTCATCATTTTGCCATGGATTTTTAGCACCTGATTTATGATTCCTGTAAAACAGGGCTTTGCAGATGACTGTATGAAATCTCTTTTTCTCAGTTTGTTATGTTCTCCTAAAGCATTAAAAAAATATATATATTACATTGTAGGAATGCGATACAGCCACAAGGTGGCACCAAAGTACCATGTATGTGGACAAATTAATTTTTCAGGGTTGTGCCATTTTTGTGCATTGTGAGGCGCTATAGACCCGTGAGTGATGGATAGCCCTTGCTTCTTTCTGTCAGTTTCATTCCAATCCACTCATCTATTTCTGTATGGTGCACGTTTGCAAACAGATTATTTTTATTTTTACTTGTAATGCTATTATTACTTATTTCTTACATTGAATGTCCATTTTGTCCATTTTATATAATATGCACTCAGTGTCCACTTTATTAGGTACCCCTAATAAAGTATCTGTTACTACCCACTAACTACTTCAAGGGTTGTTGCCTTGTTTATTGAGAGGAGCTTTTGTGTACACCACTATTATAATAAACTCTGCTTGCGGCCTTTCCTCTATGCTTTAACAAGTCTATTCTCTCTCACACCATTCTATGAAAATCCCAGGAGGGCAGCTATTTCTAAGATGCTGTATCCACCACGTCAGGCCCCAATAAACACACCACACTCAAAATCGCTTAGATCACACATATAATGCTCAGCTAAACAATAACGGAATCTCTATCTTTGTTCCATTTGTATTCATATGCAGCCAAACAGTAGCTGTTTGGAGGGCCAGGCTGTTTGTGTTAAAAAGCAAAGGTACTGATTAAACTACTTTAGGTTCATTACCACGGAGTGTATATGATGTTGTGTTTCACCTACAAGGTCAGGTGACGGTCTCCTGGATTGATGCTCCACTCTGATGACACTGTGGTATCACCATCTTCTTGTGCCGTATCCAGATCTGGATCTAGGTCCAGATAAACCCTTCAGCTGTGACCAGTTCCGTTCTGACTAGATGGGAAGCAGACTAAGGCAGTTATACAGTCTGGCCCTGCATGTGTGGAGGTCAGAGATGATGTGGAACTCTTTTGCACAGGTGGACCACTACCCTCCAGTCAGCTACAGCCTCCCCGACACGTCAGACACGCAGTTTAACCTCGCCAAGACTCTCTTCCTCGGCAAAGTTTTCGGTGAGTGCGCCTTATTTATTTATTTAAGATGTTGACAACAGCTGTCACGGTGGATAATTGCATTAGCTAGCAGATACTGATTAAAACAAATCATTGTGTGCTGTGTAAAAAGATGAATATTTAGTAGGGGCAATTTCTGCTTCCTTGATGGGAAAATTGTGTTGTTTGTTTGTTGGCTGGTTATTGTTGCAAAGAATCTGCAGTGCGGAGCTGAAACATGCCTTGTTGCTAACATCTGTTTAGCTGTTATGAACACAAATGAGCAGGAGGGGGTGTAGTGATTAAAGAACTGGATTTCTTTGTCCAAAATTATTTAACAATCTACTGCCGGCCTACACATCTGTAACCAAGTGTATGCATTATATAAATGAGTTTGCTGTGTATTTGAGAGAAAGGAGAGCCTGAGATCAATGATGTAGTATGACGTGTTGCTCAGATAACTTGCACAATATATCCAGAGAGTCCTGGTTAAAAAAACTCACCCCAATCCACCCTCTAATCAACATTTTCTGTGACTCTGTGTTCACGAAGAGTCAAGTCTTCACACTCACAACATGGAGTGTAATTAGTGCTATGTTGTGATTGCATCAACAACAGGATGGCAGTGCACAGTCCGGTAAGGAATTGTCACTGATCCTTGTAAGGATTGAATGTCCTTGTATTTAGTTCTGCATTGATCGAGTGTCAGAGGTGCACCAGCAGGTCACCTCCCGTGCTTTATTGCATTACTTTGAGATGATTGTGTCCAGAAGATTCCTGCATGGCTAGCAGTTCAGAAACGATTTTCTCCGGTTTACTGTTATAACACCGATCTCTGAATAGTGGAACAACTGGACTAATCTGAGCTGAGCACGCTTGGACAGATCTGAGAGGTCGTACCAAAGTGTGCTTCTGTTTTCAGTCAACACTCATCATCTGCCGTGCATGAGAGATGGTATCTTCATTTTCGCAATGAAAGAGGTTTCTCCTAGCATAAGTGTTGCTTGTTAGCAATAAGAGAGGTAAAATTAATGCAGAGCGCAACATAAATGATTAAAGAACACAACCTACATCTGTCACATGGACTGCGGGATTCCCAGCAGGGGTGCCGTCAATGGGAAGGAAATCCCCAGTGATTCAGGGGCCCAGTGGGTGCTGGGACATGCCAACTGTCTAGGGCAGTGTTTCCGAATCCGGTTCGTGGGGACTCACAGACGGTCCACGTTTTTTGTTCCCTCCCAGCTTGCTCCCAGACAGACCACATGTTTTGCTACGGAGGTAGGAGAGAGCGAAAACATGGACTGTCTGTGGGTCCCCAAGGACCGGATTGGGAATCACTGGTCTTGGGTGGGGGGCTTTTTTCCCACCTTATACCTGTTTCTCAATAATGTGCACATAATCAACATCTCAATACTCTCTAACGTAAGACACAGACCAAAGGTCTCTAAACGTTAGCGTGTGCTGGAGGAAGACGCATTTCTCACGGAATAAGCAGCAGCGCAAGTGAAATGATTATCTGGTGAAGTTATTTTATGACATTGAGATGTTTTTTTCACATTTTGGCATTTTTGTCACTACTATGCAAGGACAGCCTTTTATTACAATTTAGGTGTTCTGGAAGAAAATTGTTTCAAAAGTGATAGCCTTATCGCATCACCCCTCAAGAAAGTCATAAAGCAGTAAAGGTGACTGTTCACCAAGAGGGTGAAAGTCTATTGGCTTGATAACTTGCCTCATCGTGTGTGGGAGGGAGCTCAGGGGATCTGTGGTGCTGAGCTAGATCTGAGCGGCTGCACAGACCACCTGCCAAACTGTCAGTGGCACTGAGATTTATTAGAGATGCAGTGTCAGAATCATGACCTCCACCACACGCCCAGAGACCAATAATCAAGCCACGGAATCATTACTCTAGGACGGCCGTGGTTTCCCTGTGACCATCCCAACTCATAACGGGAGGTGACGGTTGTTTACAAATGTTTTTTTTTCAGAGATTACAGAGAGAAAATAGGTCCTATTTTAGCTCCTCCCGAGTTCATTAGTTTTGACGTTGAAGAACCGACTCCCAGTCTGGGTCTTGCAGCTACATTTCCAGCTGCATCCTGGGAATCTTGGGACGGCCTGCAGAACCTAAAGTGGTAACATGCAAATGGGTGCACCCTAATCTTTATTCATTCAATTTTATGGTGTAAGCACTGAGAATGGCATTTATGAGGCTGTTCTGTGGTGATTCAGTTGATGGATTCTGTGTAGTCATGCCCACTCCAGCCACGACATCACTTCCTGTCTACCAAAGAGCAGCTCTCCTTTGCCTCCGCACTGCGTGGCGGAGCCCTTGGCATCTCTCAGGTTTCCTCCCACATTCCTTCACGATCTCTCACCAGCAGAGAGTCTTTGTTTTATGTCCTGTTTTTTTGTTTTTTTTTCCGGTCACCTGATGCTCAGTGAGTCATAACTGTCAGAGTTGAGAAGGCATCCCTTGTTCAGGATATCAGTGTCTGCAGTACCGTATTAATGATTAAAGTCTGGGAATAGTGTGGCATGAATAAAACAGGCCCACTGTGCTCCAGAGGACGCCACTCAAAGAGTGAAGTTATTGGCCACACCCTGGAGTTGTCATCGAGGCTATGGCAGCCCATTTGGGAGACCTGTAAACAATTCCTGTGGTTCATTGGTGTGTACAGTCACGTCCTCATTGTGATTGTTAATGTTTTTTTTATACATGTTACTCGCCTCTCTCCACTTCCTGTGTCTGAAACTAAATCATTTACTACGTAGTGTTTCAGCAGTATTGATTTGTAGACCTGCTACACGTGTCAGTTAGGCAGCCTTCTTCTGAGGGAGCGCCGACTTAGCGAGCCGATTTCAGGGGGCGCCGGCAATGAAACAGTCCCGGGGTTCCACACGGGTTTCGGCTAGTACTGCCTGGTGCAGTCCCCGGCGAAATCCGCTAAACCTCATTTCTGAATGATGGACAAGTGGCCTGGGACGATTTCCTCATCAGCCTTTGCTGTCCCTTCACCATAATCCTGGCTGTCACCAGAAAGACCTTTGAAGTCAGAAATGGTCTGTCTCACATGCAGGTTTTTTTTCTCTCTGATCACTGGTGTTTTACAGGGTAACCACTGATAAGGAGGAAACCTTTTATTCACTAATAATTGCCGGCAATTTTCTGAGATTATTTGCATTCCCTTGCACAAGATGTCACATCAGTATCACATCAGTGTCACATCATAAATGCTGCTCATTACCAGTTTCTGAATAAGTCAACCAGTGTAGATTTGCTTTCCCTGCCTGTCATTTTCCAGGATATTATTTAAAGCCGCCATGCAGTTAAGTAATGTAATCTTTTTCCTTATTAATGACAGGGTAATAAAATACGAACACGATTGTATACTTTTGTTTGTAAATCATCAGTTTCTATCTATAATCGAGGCTCGGAAAAAAATGTGCAGGCCATCGATTAAAATGAAATCAATTTCAATTTGATCTACTGTGAATCTGTATCACATTAAGCCTGTGGTTTTTGTATGAAATATAAATGATGTTAAATTTATCCGAAAAGAAAGGATGTCAATAGCAAATTTATGACTGAGAAAACACTATTTGTTCTCTTATGAGAAATTAAATAGCAACCTCTTTTGGGTAGCATATACATGTCTTTGGTGGCTTAAATAGAAGTATAAATATATAGATATATAAATATATAAATATATAGAAGAAAATATTACATGTCCTTTACCTGCTGTGCACATAGGTGGTGTGGATATTGGGGCATGCCGTAAAACTCTTAACATTGTGGGTGACCCCTACACTTATTTGACCCCCAGACTCCCAAAGAATCGGATGGAGCAGGTTCACCCAATCTGGCAACTTACGGGCCAATCAGAAAATACTGACAGTCTGTCTGCTACCCGCTACTGAACAAAAATAAAAATAGGAATGTAGACCCCTGTCTCAGAGAAAGCTTCTAAGCTCCAGTTTATGACATATGTCAAGGCTCTGCTAAATTTGTTTAGCTATTGTGCAACTTCTCAAACGTTCTGGCAGCTTTAAAACAAGCATCTTCTCATTAAATGCTGTTTTTGTGTTGAACAAAGCTTGGATCTTTAAGCCAGAGGTAACGCGTGACTGAGAGTATTAAATATGCAGCCCAGTGATGTTCCAGAATGATCAGCGAAGCCTTTAACCGCCTTAGCTGGGTATCTTTTGACCGGCGATCGTTTCTGTATACATGGGAGAACCTTCAATCTGCTTCTCCCCGTTAAGCGGCGGCAGCGCCTATGAGCACCTTTTCGTTACCATGGTGAAGGAACACACTGCTGTAGGCTGTGGCAGTGGCCTCTCGCGTTGTGGGAATAAAGGAGCGGCAATGAAGCACGTTTGATAAGCGAGAACCCGGAACAGTGCCTAACAGGCGCTGAGCGCGGGGGGGCTGACTTTTGCTTGCTGTTTATGAAATTCGTGAGTAATCCGGCATGGATTCATGCATAGAGATGAGGGTGAAGTCTGACAGAATATGCAGAGGTTGCCAGCCTGCCTATAAGATGATATCAAAAACTGCTGTCAATAGTGACCCGTTTTAAGAAGAAAATATTTGAAAAATGAGAGAGAGAGAGAGAAAGTGAAGGGAAAACAGAAGAGTCATTAGCATGGATAGAAATGTCCTTAACTTAATTAATGCATACTCTTGTCTAGAAAATGTCCCACGGAATAGTGGCTTCATTCAGGTTGACTCATCATCGCTCAATCTGGGCACAAACGTTGGGTTTGTGTCTCACATCTTTGTGGGTTTATTCAATTATATCTCTTACAGCATAGTAGTTGCACTGTATCCGTAACAGATATCCGCTGGCAATGTTTCTGACATGTCCGAGATTAGTTTTCCTTATTGCCTCACAGAGGAAAAAATAACATGTGATGTCACTGGAATTCTGACAGTGGGTGGAAGCTCGTGACAACGCAGGAGCCAGGCATGTTTGAGAAGAAGAGGGATAAAACCAGTGTGAGTGCTTTGGACCAGC